AAAAAAAAAAAAAAAAAAAATTATTAAGGAGAAGCTTACTGCTTCCAAACTGTGCCATTTATGAAGCTCTAATGATTAGAATATTCTCCCATAGTTTAAACTAAAATGTGTACCTCATTACTTACAAGGACCTAGTTTTGCCCTCTTGGAGGATCATGAAAAAAGCATGTTTCCCCTTCCACAAGACTTTAAAACAACTTTCATGCCTTCCTTTTGTCTTTTCCTTCATCCATTCACTTATATAACTGTTCATCTATCTATCCATCTAACAATCTGCCTATTTATTCAATCAGTATTTACTTTTCTAAGATATTAAGCACAGGGCATTGCCTGTGGCTCAGTGAGGAGGGCAGCAGCCCCATATACTGAGGGTGGTGGGTTCAAACCTGGCCTCCGGCCAAACTGCAACAAAAAAATAACTGGGTGTTGTGGCAGGTGCCTAAAGTCCAAGAAAATTGCCTAAGCCAGGTGTCCTCAAACTACGGTCCGCAGGCCACATGCAGCCCGCCTAGGACATTTATCTGTCCTGCCAGGTGTTTTTGTCACTGTTGTGTGTCCTGCTTAGCAACTGACCCATCTAGGGGCCCACAGTCCAGCCCTCCAACAGTCTGAGGGACAGTGAACTGGCCCCCTGTTTAAAAAGTTTGAGGACCCCTGAAGCCCAAGAGCTGGAGGTTGCCGTGAGCTGTGACGCCATGGCACTCTACCAAGGGTGACAAAGTGAAATTCTGCCTCTAAAAAAAAAAGATATTAAGCACAGTACTTAGAGAAAGGCATTATAATCAATAACATAAATAAACTATGATATTCGGGCACCTTGATCCAACTTATCTGTGTCAGGTGCCAAGGATATAGAGATATGTAAGACCTTGTAATCTTGGAGAGCTTGTGCCCAGGTATAAGGAATGAAGTAAATAAATGCAAATTATACCACATGACATCTGGGCAATAAAATGGTGTGTATAGATGGACGTGGCATAAAGGAGGAGTAACCATTCCTCTCTACAGAAGTTAGAAATGAGTCATAAAAGAGCTGGTCCCACAGCAAGGTGCTAAATAATATTTCATCCCAGGAGGAAATAGTTCACTTCCAGGAAAAGGAGCACAGAACAGCACAGTATGGGTAGGAGAGGTGGTAGGTGCGGGGCACAAAGCAAGCTGGCAGCCTCTTGCAAGTTAGCTGTCTCAGATGAGGTCATGCAGACCTAGAGTCTTCAAGCACATCAGAAAGAACGTCATCAGAGAGAGGAGGAAGGGCTGGAATTTGGGGGTCAGAATACTTGAAGTCTTCCCAAATCTTACTACCCTACCTCTAAATTTCCCATTCTGGGCCTAATGGATGTCTTAAATAAACACAGGAAATCCATGAACCTGCAG